TGACATCTTCCATCATTTCCTCTTTTCTGTCTTAATAAAAAGAAGGGTTTTAACCTTAACATAGCAAAATATATCACATAAGTTATCAAATAAGAATCACAGTTAACAATATTTAGTTCATTAACATTTAGCAAGATTAAAAAGAAACTATTCTATCATCTATCTTATCTTTGTGAGTCTAAAGACCTATATGTAACTTATCTTTAAACCTAACTAAGGAAAACTATAACCATAACTATCTGTCTTCAACTCCATCAAAGACCACAGAAGGATAATATATAAACTCTAGAAATGACAGACAACTCACTGCCTGGTCACCCGAAGTTCTTCTGTAATCTTAGTGTCTACATAACATATGACCAGGAAACTTCTGGCTTTCATTGTTCCTGTTGAGAAGACAGGTGTAATTCTGATAGGTCTGTCTTTATATGTTACCTGGCCTTTCTCCTTTACAGCTCCTAATATTCTTTCTTTATTCTGTATTGTTTTGATTATTATGTGGCAAGGGGACCTTTTTTGTGGTCCAGTCTATTTGGTAATCTGTAGGCATCTTGTATTTTTATAGGCATGTCCTTCTTCAGATTGGGAAAGTTTTCTTCAATGATTTTGGTGAATATGTTTTCTGTGACTTTGATTTGAACTTCTTCTGTCCCCATTATTCTTAGGTTCCATCTTTTCATGATGACCCAGATTTTCTTCATGATTTGTGGTAAAGATTTGTTGCATTAAAAATTTTCTCCAAAATATCTTCAGTGCCTGATATCTATCTTCCATCTCTTGTATTCTGTTGTTTATGCTTGCATTTGTGGCTCCTGATCATTTACCCCAGATTTTCCTTCTCCAGAATTCTTCAGTTTGTGTTTTCTTTATTGCCTCTATTTCAGATGTCATATCTTCAATTGTTTCCTTCTATGGTTTGATTGCTTTTTCTTAGTTTTCTTCAAGGGATTTCTTGATATCTTCCCTTTTTTTGTTTGTCTTTTCCTCCATTTCTTTAAGAGAATGCTTTATTTCCTCTTTAAGGGCCTCAACCATCCTCGTAAGGTTATCTTTGGGGTCATTTTCTTCCCCTTCGCCTGTGTTGGGATGCTCAGGTCCTCCCTATTGTAACGCCACTACTTTCTAGTGGTGGCCAATTGCTCTTTGTGTTGTTGAGTGTGTTCTTACCTTGTTGTCTATGCATCTCTTCCTCTAAGTGGTAAGGGTGGAGCTTGTGCTTCAGGGCTTCTCTCTTTCTCCAATAGCTATAGTTGGGGGCTGTGGCCCTGTGGACCCCTCCTTCAGGCACAGGCTGAGCAGAGTTTCTGGTGACTGCTCCTCCAGGTGGGAGTGGGCCCCACGCTCCGGTGCCCCCTCCTTGAGGTGCAGCTGGGGCTGCAGCTCTGGTGGATGCTCCTCCCCTTGGAGGTCCATGTAGTAGCAGGTCGTCTCCCACCGAGAAATGCCAGTGGATGCTGATAGGGACACAGATGCTCTCGCCCAAAGGGATTTTTCGTAGTAGTTTCTGGAACCACTGATGTCTTTTAACCCAGTGATCACCCCATACTCCTGGGCTTGAGGTTGGGGCCTCCCTCTGACCCTGATCCCAGGACAGAATAGGGTTTCTTACTCAGCCTCAGAAGTCCTGTTCTGTATACCCCTCTCTCGCAGCATACGCTTCTCTACAAAGCAGTGTGTGTTGTGTTTTAGGCAGAGTGGTGAATGTATCAAGTAGGATGAGCCTCAGGGCCCTGAAAAACTGCAGCCCGGAGCTGCAGCAGAAATTCCGAAGCGAGACCATCACTGAGGAGGAGCTGGTGGGGCTCATGAACAAGTTTGTGGGAGACACGAAGAAGGGGATTCATGAGAAAGAAGGCTGGCCTAACAGTGCGTATGGCGTCACCAAGATTGGGGTGACGGTCCTGTCCAGAATCCACGCCCGGAAACTCAGCGAACAGAGGAGAGGGGACAAGATCCTCCTCAACGCCTGTTGCCCAGGGTGGGTGAGAACCGACATGACAGAACCAAAAGCCACCAAGAGCCCAGAGGAAGGAGCAGAGACCCCCGTGTACTTGGCCCTTTTGCCCCCAGATGCAGAGGGGCCTCATGGGCAGTTTGTTCAAGAAAAGAAAGTAGAACAGTGGTGAACTCAATCAACTTTCCCCTCTTCCCACAGCACACCCTCCCTCTTTGCACCCTGTCTTGGTGAGGGCTAATGGGCATTTATAATGCAGTGACACAATATAAGAACTAAATACTGGTTAATTACTTTACTCATTGACCTTTGTGATGCCATGCATTGCTTTATGATTCCCTGTGACACAGCATAAGAAACAGTGCATTCTAGCCATAGATAATTAAATAAATAACTGGCTCTTTAAGCACAATGATTCCTGTAAAGTCGGGGGTTTTCCTTAATGGGTATGAGTGTCTTGCCTAGGGGGATGGAAGTGTATTACATGCTTGTGGGGAGGAGGAGAGGCATCTGCCCCTGGACCTGCAGGGAAGATGCTGGGAGGTCTCCACAAGAGCAGCAAGGGCTCCTCGCTGCTGCCCCATCAGCCCTCATTTAACAGATCCTTTCCATGCAAACCTGGCTTCCTCCCAGCACTTGCATTAGGACAAAAGTCAGGTGAAGGGGAGGCACAGTATAACTCCAGGCCGTGAAGAATGGAAGAGCCAGGTCAGCACTGTGGCTCTGTGCATGCTGCAGGCTGTACCAGCTGTGTCCCTGGGTGACAGGCAGGACTACTGGGAAGCCTGAGTCAAGGACAGTTCTAGGGTTCAAAACACAACTCTCAGCTCTCCAAATGAATGAAAGATCATCTATTCTAGAGCCATTGAGTGACCATGGCCTGAGAACAAAGACTTAGGTAAGGCCATGTCCCACGTTCCAAGAGAAAAGCAGTTTCATAAAGGCTGTGTATCTTCCCTTGTTCTAAGAAGTTTTATGGAACAAAGGAAGTCTTAAATCAAAATCCATTGGTAGGAAGATCAGAGAAACAGGCACAATGAGATGTGGGAGCCATTTTACAAGCCCAAGATGCTGTGCGATGACATCCTTAGCTTTTGGGAAGGTGGTGGAAGTTAGTGTTCTGCTGAACGAAACGCTTCTAAGGGCTGGCATCATCACCAACATTCTCCTCCTCCCCCATCATCACCCTCTTGAGGTGTTTCTTCAGAGTGGGGCAAGGAATGGCTGTCCCAGACCCTAAAACTGGCCGGCGATAAAGTACTCAGCCTCTAATCACGTGGATTCCAGAATCTCCACACTACTGAAATTCCCCTCAGTCCTCCAGTCTCTGCAGACACAGACTCCTCCCTGGAGTTTTAATCACAGCACACACAGCTTCTCTTCCGGAAATTTTCTCATACTTACCCTGTTGGCCAAGCATCACATTTTGCACATGCAAGGGCCACATGTTGCGTGTTCTAAGGCCCTTCCCTCATGGCTAGGACCCAGGCCTAGGATCTGACGTAGATGAGGTTTGAGCAGTGGACGGGACAGCATCTTTAGGCGACAGGAATACTGGAAAACCCAGGAAGTGTCACTGGCATCATATGGAAACAATTAGCCACTAGATCTTCATCTGAACTATCTTTTATGCCATCTGTATCTGTCCTTAATTCATGTGTGACATAGATTACCAAAATTAAAAAATCAGAACACAGTTTGACCTAATGGAGTGAAAATTACAGATAAAACCAATGTCTAAAATGACTAAAGTGTACAAGACCGGATACATAGTTCCTCAACTTCGTGCAATGACTTCCTTCCTACCATCTTTGCATGGACTTTGCATGGACCTATGAGTCATCCCTCCCTTACCAGCTTGGCAAACAATGACTAGAAGCCTGCCATGAAATAAACGGCAATTTACATGCAATCCACAAGAAACAACACAACCTCTTATCATGGGGGTGTCTCGTATCTCTTTCCTTAATTCACTGTATTCCCAATAATACAACTGCCCTCATGCCTATCGTGCTCAATACAACTCAAATGTCTTACTTTAAATTAAAGGGCCACCTATGACTATTAGCAACCTACTGAACACAAAGGAAACGAAACTTGACCTTCAGATCTCTATTCCAGGGTGTTAGCAAGCAGAGAGGATTTCTTTCCTTCTGCAAACATTGTGAGCATAGAGCATCCTGTCACCTGGAAAGGGGGGCTGAGGTGTGCATCGTGGGCTATTCTGAGAATAAAACAACAGGTTCCTTGATGGCCCTCACCTCTGCACACTTCACTCTTCACAAAAGCAAAGCACTAGGAAGTTGATAAAGAGATACCCCATGCTGTGGGAAAGGAATGTTTCCTGCCAAGGATTAAACAACAGCTTTGCTTTAGTATCCTAAGTGGGAAACTCAACACCAATTTCCATTCCTCATCCTTTTCGCCTATTCATCCTACAATTCCAGTTCCTACAACTTAAGGACAGGGCGTTATTTTTCTACACACCGGTAAGAATATGTACAAAGATCCATTTTGCAAGTTGGGGAGGCACGGAGGCAGATTCATTCACATGGGGAAGGCAAATGTCTGACGGCCGGGTGCACAGCTGCAGCAGCCTCTCTCCAGACTTCCCCTGCAGTCTTGCCTGCTGCCGGCTTTCAAAACCACTCCGGAAAAAGCCAGAGGCGCCCATGAGCTGACCCAGCCATTTTTCTGGTTGGATTTTAACTTTCAAACACCAGCCCGCATGCTCGGAGCTAGCAAAGGACCTCGCATATTTATTTCATAGAAAATACTGTAAGTATTTTCTATGAAATAAAGGTAAGCCAACACCCTGTAACTATAAACCATCAAGACCAAAGACACTTAACAGAGAGTGTAAAGCAAACAAGATCCACCACCACCAGTCTCCTGACTTTCCACGCCCTCCTGGAGGCCGGATCAGTTGATGCGCATGCGCATTAAGTCCATGCTGGTCTACCCAACCCGGCTGCCGTTAAAAAAGACGTGCAGGGATTGGCTCTCCCGCTACCCCTGCTGCTAACTCCTGCTGCAGAAAGAGCCTCAGGCTCGCTGCTCGCACACCGCCTCCCTAAGCTCACCCAGCCATGTCGTCCCGCAGCCGCGTGGCCCTGGTGACCGGGGCTAACAAGGGCATCGGCTTCGCCATCACGCGGGACCTGTGTCGGAAGTTCTCGGGGGACGTGGTGCTCACCGCGCGCGACGAGGCGCGGGGCAAGGCGGCGCTGCAGCAGCTGCAGGCGGAGGGCCTGAGTGCCCGCTTCCACCAGCTGGACATCGACGACCCGCACAGCATCCGCGCCCTGCGCGACTTTCTGCTCAAGGACTACGGGGGACTGGACGTGCTGGTCAACAACGCGGGCATCGCCTTCAAGAGTAAGGCATGAGATGTGCAGAGGGGAGGCGGCTTCCCCAGAGCTGGTGCAGGCGGGGCGCCGCCTCTCTGGGCAGCACGTCTAGGTCAGGGGCTCTCTGGCATGGGAGTCTAGAGCAGGACCCCTGGGAGAAACAGGACGGGCTGGGGGCTGCGGGCGAAGCAGAGCCTCCCTGGCCTCTGTGCTTCCCGAGTAGCCATCATCTCCAGGTTTCCCTCGCCCAGCTGTGGAGTCGCTGGTCTTGGGGATACCTGAGTGGGACTCTCCCCTGGGAGAGAAGGAGCAGAGGAGAGAGGTGTGGCACCCAGACCCTGATGCTCCCGCAGCCTCCCCGAGTGGTGCTGCCTTTCAGAGACAGCAGAGCACCGCCAGATCCACAGCGGGGCAGCGCTCTGAGAAAGACTTGCAAGTGCTTTCTAACCCAGTCAATGCATTCATTCTCTTTCTGCCCTGGAAGACGCTGACCCAACCCCCTTCCACATTCAAGCAGAAGTGACTATGAAAACGAACTTTTTGGCACCCAAAATGTCTGCACCGAGCTCCTCCCTCTAATGAAACCCCAAGGTGAGTGTGGTGGGCGGTTCCCAGGCCGCCCCTCTCCCTCTGGGCCTCTCTGCCACTTGGGGGTATGGTTCTGCCCTTTTGGTCTGGATTCTTCTGTGGCCCCTGACTCTCTCTCTCTGCAGCTCTGACCCCCCCCAACCGTCCTCTCCTCTTCCAGGGTCTGTTTGCCCCACACCCTCACACTTGAGGGGCTTTTAGGAACCCATTCCTCTCTGAAACAAAGTGCATACCAACTGACTGTCCCTCCTGGTCACAATGCCCTGTCCCCACGAGGCCTCAGACCCTGCCCACTGGGCGCTGCCCACAGCAGGTCTCAGCTGCCAGCCTGCACAGACCACACCCACCCAGGATGCCTCTTCTCCAGAGTGGGCTCCTTTGCTGTGTTTCTGTCTATACAGCTCCTCCCCTCCCAAAGGTCCTTCGGTGGAGAGAGCCCAACCTTAAGCATGGTTCAGAACACTCTGTTACCTCCCCTGTCTTTCCTCCGGGCTCCTGTTAGGTCTAAACATGTTCCTGTACTGCAAAACAAACTGCTAACACCCCATGTCATTTGGATAGCGTGTGAACCACCAATTATTCAATACACTCCAGTAATGACAAGCAAGCCTCTAGGAATGTGAGGTTCTGGTTTAGAGTTGAGTAAGTATATCTCATCTGGACCCATGTACTTCTCTCCAGTCTGGTCATCTGGATCGCAACCCTCTAAGGGCAGCTGTTTCCATGGTGTCCTGGCTTCTCTACTCACCCAAACCTTGAAGGAAAGAATACAGTTTCTTATGCTGCCTAGGAGTCCAGTTCTGCGCACACCTTGCTCAGACATAAAACCTCAGCAAATATGACATGACCTCCTTGCATACGCCTCTCTACAAAGCAGTGTGTGTTGTGTTTTAGGCAGAGTGGTGAATGTATCGAGCATGTTGAGCCTCAGGGCCCTGGAAAACTGCAGCCCGGAGCTGCAGCAGAAATTCCGAAGCGAGACCATCACTGAGGAGGAGCTGGTGGGGCTCATGAACAAGTTTGTGGAAGACACGAAGAAGGGGATTCATGAGAAAGAAGGCTGGCCTAACAGTGCGTATGGCGTCACCAAGATTGGGGTGACGGTCCTGTCCAGAATCCACGCCCGGAAACTCAGCGAACAGAGGAGAGGGGACAAGATCCTCCTCAACGCCTGTTGCCCAGGGTGGGTGAGAACGGACATGGCGGGACCAAAAGCCACCAAGAGCCCAGAGGAAGGAGCAGAGACCCCCGTGTACTTGGCCCTTTTGCCCCCAGATGCAGAGGGGCCTCATGGGCAGTTTGTTCAAGAAAAGAAAGTAGAACAGTGGTGAACTCAATCAACTTTCCCCTCTTCCCACAGCATGTCCTCCCTCTTTGCACCCTGTCTTGGTGAGGGCTAATGGGCATTTATAATGCAGTGACACAATATAAGAACTAAATACTGGTTAATTACTTTACTCATTGACCTTTGTGATGCCATGCATTGCTTTATGATTCCCTGTGACACAGCATAAGAAACAGTGCATTCTAGCCATGGATAATTAAATAAATAACTGGCTCTTTAAGCACAATGATTCCTGTAAAGTCGGGGGTTTTCTTAATGGGTATGAGTGTCTTGCCTAGGGGGATGGAAGTGTATTACATGCTTGTGGGGAGAGAGGCATCTGCCCCTGGACCTGCAGGGAAGATGCTGGGAGGTCTCCACAAGAGCAGCAAGGGCTCCTCGCTGCTGCCCCATCAGCCCTCATTTAACAGATCCTTTCCATGCAAACCTGGCTTCCTCCCAGCACTTGCATTAGGACAAAAGTCAGGTGAAGGGGAGGCACAGTATAACTCCAGTCCGTGAAGAATGGAAGAGCCAGGTCAGCACTGTGGCTCTGTGCATGCTGCAGGCTGTACCAGCTGTGTCCCTGGGTGATAGGCAGGACTCACCGGGAAGCCTGAGTCAAGGCCATTGTTGATGTCAAAAGCATAGCTCCTAAGAGTAAGAGATCACTTACCATGGAGCCATTATGTGTGACTTGACCTGAGACACTGGATTATTTTGCCCCCAAATTCCATGTTCCCACACAGAAGTTTCCTGAAGGTTTTATAGTTTTTCAGGACACAAAGTCATAAACCAAGACAACTTTAAAACACGTCGGTAGGTACACCAGATGCTCAGGTGACACAAAGAGATGAGGAGCTATGCTATAGACCAGATGCTGCCTGATGACATTCTTAGCTCTTGGATTGGTGGAAGCTACTCTTCCCTGAGTTAATAGTCCAGTTTTCAATTATCATAGGAAGTAAGTTCAGATAGGGATTTGGGCAAGGCATGGCTGTTCCAGAAGCTAAAACCAGCCCAAGAGAACTTAATTAGCCTCAGAGCCTGCAAAATTCCGGTCTCCACACTATATTTGTAAAGACAATGAGAAAAGAACTTAAATCTTTAAAATATTTCTTTGAAAGCAGTCACAGCACAAAGGCGTGATCGATGGAGAAGGAGAGATATTACATTTTCATTCATCAGTTTATTAAAGCCAACACAAGTACTTCTTTTATCATTTAAAGTACATTAGATAGAATTTACAATACAATTTCAAAACATTTTAAGAAACTACAATGTGTATAGTAAAAAAATAAAAATAAAAATGCCATTATACATGTAAAAATAGCTTTGTCAGGAACCCTACTATTCCCCCCTGCACCTGATAAGAACTCAGTGATACCATTCACTCAAGATAACCAGACAGTCCTAGACCCCATGACGTCCTCTGTGAGGTGTATAAGCCGAGACCAAGAGCAATGCTGTGCTCTGCACAATTGGAGAGATGCCATCTTGATTATCCCTGTGGCTTGAGAGTCTCTCTCAGGATCCAGAATCAGTGGATCCTGTGTGTGTGTGTGTGTGTGTATTGGTGTGCGCGTGCGTGCATGCGCATGTGTGTGAGCGCGCGTGAGCACAAGCCCACACACATATGCAGAAGAAAGGTAATGAAGGTTAGAAAAAAACCCAACACAACTACAAGAGAAAAGAAAGAAAATGCCTATGAAACCACGATCCCATTCCTTCAGGAAATAATAGATGGCATGCAGCCAGTGAGTGCATCAGGGAAAATATAAGAAAGGCAGTGTGGAGGAAAACAAGTAACTAAAAGGAGCGGAACTCATGGCAAGAAGGGAAATCTTTTTGGTCCAGCAGTCAGGGGCCATCTGAATCTGTATACATGTCAATAGCACCTGAATGGACGCAGTAAAGGAGTCAGACCTGGAGAACTTGGGGGACCCCTGAAATTGTCATCTGGACAGGGATCCAGCTAAGGGCTGGATTAACCTGCCCTCTGAGGATGAAGACAAGGTCCAGGACCAAGTCACCCTACTGGGGAGGCCGCCTCCCATCTGTACTGTGTTTGGCATTATAGACCCTCCCGTGGAAACGGGGAGTCGGGCCATCTGAATCCGAGAGAACCTAAAGTATATAAAGCTCTGTGTTGGGCCCGCTAACTGTGACATTTATTTGTTTATATGATGTATTTTTCCGTTGTCTCTGTTGGGAACCAGCAGTCTGCTGACCCCGCCTCCAATGATGGGCGGGACGCTCATGGCCATGTCATAGCTAAGTCAGGCTTTATGTGGCTGCTCAAGCTTTACCTGGCTGCCAGGGGACGCATGTGCAAGTTTCCCTTTTAAAGCAAGTGCACCAAGTGCCCCTCCCTCTGGTCTTCTCTCTCTTTGCTTTCTCTCTTTCTCTTTCTTCTCTCTCTGTCTCTCTCTCTCTCCCCTGCTTTCATTGGCCACCAGCTACCCCCCCTTTCTCTCCCCTCTCTCAATAAACTCCATGTAGGTGCTGAGTCTCGTGCAGCAAAAGAACCAGTCTCCCCCGTACAGATGCTATCCCAGACTAAAATTAACATAGGACAGACTCCTTCCTCCCCTGTGTAAAACCATGAAATTTCCTGCCGCATCTGCTCCCGGACTGGGAAATTACAGCCAGGTGGCAAAGCAGAACACCATGATGGACAGCACCCAGCCCCTCCCTTCCCTCTGCAGGTGCCAGCCGCTGCACAGGGATGCAGGAACATGGCATGGGCGTTGACAGGGACACGACTTTGGTAAAGACTTTTATGTCAACTAAAAAATTAAGACTAACCAAATAGACGGTACATAGATATAATGGCCATGTGCAGACTTGGTACAGTCTGATGCAAAGAAGACAAAATATGATAAAACAGTGGGTGTAAGAGACAGGTCAAATGGGGCTGCAAATCCAGAGAATTCAGAGGTCCACAAAACACAGCAAAGCAGCACAGAGAGCATCAGAAGGAGCTTCAAGTGTTAAGAGTATAACTCTACTTCTCTGGGCAATAGAAGATAAAACAGAAGAAAGGATTGGCCAGACCCACCCCCAAAATAATAATATAATAAAAAACATAACAGGAGAGCGGGTAAACCCCAACAGAGTCAACAGTTGAGAGAGTGGAGGGTTCAGAGAGGCTCAGGGTTTCGAGGGAAATAAAAAAGTATATGTATGTGCTGAAAAGGTCAATCTGTGTTTTCTGGTATAGACATAAGTTTTGTTATAAATATAGAGCTAAAACAAAAATGGTTTAAATATTTTTGCTGTCTAATGTTAACAGCAGTCAGTCATTTATGGAAATAGCTCAAAATTTATCTCTGAACTGTGGTCATTAAATTCAGATAAAACTGTTTTATGGTTAAATCTTTTAAAAATTAAAACTAAAAGGTTAAAACTAGTAATACTGAGAATTGATAACATAAATTTAACAGTCATCCAGGTGATAATGGTTTTTAAAACATAAAACGTAGTTTATTTTTTATATCACAAAAAGATAAGTTAGTAGCCATCCTTATAAATAAGTATTAATAATTTATAATGGGGATAAATCTTACTCAGTCGCCTGTATATGTTTTCAAAGGTTAAGCTTAAAACAAAGTTGTCTATTCAGATATATCTAAGCAGATGTCTAGTACTACAGAGATCTACAGAATATGGCATTTACAATGTTACCTAGAAAGCTTATATCAGACAGAGAATCCTAGTTCCTAACAATGACCCAAGGTCTCTAAAGAAGATTATGGGCACCACGGATTGTGACGACACTGACCAGTGAGCAAGATGCTCAAATGTGATGCCTGCTGCCAGGCAGGACCTGGCTTGGACTGTGGACAAGCTGCAGGGTACTGGAAAATTGATTACAACACCGTTGCCTAGACAAAATATGGCCAGTCTTTTATACACACACACACACACACACACACACACACACACACACACACACAGAGAGAGAGAGAGAGAGAGAGAGAGAGAGAGAGAGAGAGAGAGAGAGAGAGAACCCTCTCACTTTGTGGACCTGGCAAAGATTACTTCTGCCCCCCAACGCTATAGAGACTCAGTTATGGCTAACTGTATATGGACTGGTCACTGTCAATTTTTAATAGATTCAAAAGTTACATAAAAGTAACTTCTCAGATCTCTGATAGTGTTGATGCCTGGGCTAGCCATTACTTTGTCAGCTTGACAGCATTAGGCTGCCTTAATATGACTCCTAAAAAAGTATCTAAAAATATAAAGACATATAAGTCCTAAAGATATAAAATAATTTAAAATATAAAAATTCAGAGCTTAACATTTAATAAAGTCCTGAGAAGCCAATAGAGCGGTGACACCTGCTGTTCAGTCACAAGCTCAAGGTTTATAATTTATTTTGGTTGTCATCTAACTATAAATGTAAAGGGCTTTTCATCAGGCCTAAGGCTCCTCTGTCCAATCTATACCTGGATCTGTCTAGACAGAAGAAAAACATGTACAAGCTTCTAACCCAAATCTGTAGTTTTTGCCAGGACTCAAAGGTATAAGTACATTCCTGCTGTTTTACAGATACCCGATATCTACTTTTTCTACAATATGGAGTTCAGTAGACTGGTAATAATAATATATCTAAAACTTGTATGTCCTTTTATATAATAAAGTTCATATAGGCTTCAGAGGATCAAAGGTCATAAAACTTGGATCCACTTCTCACAGGTCAAAAGGACTCCAGAGAAGAACAGCTTTTATTATCTGCCCTGTCTGTTCCTGAGGATGCGATTTTCTCCCTGGTCTGGGGACTCCTACCCTTCTTAATCACTAAAACTTTGGGCCTAAGAGTTCCAATTAAATATATAAGTTTTAACTTCTGTTCCCAGTTCAAACATGTCTCAACAGAGTTCTGCTTTCTGGCTGATGAGCATCAGTTACTGACTACAGCCTGCTCCTAAAGACTGCTAGCCCTGGACTTGCTGTGGATGTGAACCAGCCCAGCTGATGTGAATCTTCAACAGAGTCTGCGAACTAATGCCTCTGATAGACGTTCCATTTCCTGAACGCCCCTCCCCTTTCTTTTGACTAGCATTTCAGCCTTCTCGGGCCCCAGACAACACCCCAAAATCAGCAGTAAGTAGCACAGCAAAGAATACGTTGCCCCTTTTCCCTGGTTGAGATGCTAACATATATAGGGGACAAGATGACTAACCTGTACCCCAAAC